ATCTTATACTTATGCCTGATATCCAAGAAGCCAAGTGTTATGAATTTACAGTTCGAATTTTGCCCCCCCCTAGGAGCTCCTAGGGGGGGGGCAAAAAATTTTTTTCGCGCAAATCTTGCCCCCTCTACATTTATTTCTGTATACGCCCTTGTACATTTCAAATAAACAAAAAAATAGTTCAAATGAGCATGAAACAAACTCATTTGAACTATTTGTTGTTTGAACTACTTACGTGGTACCGTACGTGCAGTATAGTTCAAACGAACAATAGGTCAATGAACAATAGTTCAATGAACAATAGTTTAATGAACAATAGTTCAATGAACAATAATTCAATGAACAATAATTCAATGAACAATTTAGTTCAATGAGCAATAATTCAATGAACAATAGTTCAATGAACAATAGTTAAATGAACATATAGTTATAAAACGGTATTAGCTCAAACAGGATAGCATCGTGTAAAACTTGAAATCAATTTATATTTAGTGATATGGTTCAAAATGGCATCAACAATGACGTCATTTAAAGGGTTTCCGTTTTTTTGGTTTGTTTCTATGTTTAGGCATTTCTATGTTGAGGCGTTTCCATGAGTGCAGGAAGAAATCAGCATCAGTGGAGTACTATCGGAGACCCCGTCCCACCGGAGACCCCAACCGCTGTCATACCGGAGAGTGGAGACCCTAACATTGTCAACGGAGACCCCGAAGTTTTCATTGAAGACTCCAAAAAGTTTATAAAATAAATTTTTTAACATTTTATACAATCAAGAGCATTTTCATTTTAAAATTTTTTAACTATTTTATTGGGGTTTCCGATGAAATCTTTGGGGTCTCCGTTAAAAATGGCGGGGTCTCCGGTCAGGTGGCGGTAGCTAGGGGGACGGGGTCTCCAGTAGCACTCCGTTGATGATGCTTTCTTCCTGGACTCCGTTTCCATATAGTACCGTAAACTAACACAAGTTGTGTTTGGTATGTTAGTGTGGTGCTATGGAAACGCCTCAACACGGAAACGTCTCAACACGGAAATGCCTCAAAAAAAAACAATCTTTATGAGTTTTGAAAATTTTTAATGTAAAGACAGATACTATAAAAAAAATATTAAAAAATCAATTATTTTTACGAATGCAACACATATTTAGCCGCGAGCTCCCGCTTCGATTTTGTTTCTTCCAGCTGCAAGGCCCAGGAGCAGGACCAGGCCCAGCCAGTATATCTAAAACAGTCAACCTTGAAGCAAGAACATCTGAAGGAAAATGATCTTATTTAAGAAACTATTGTCATGGATTTTCCTCATAATGAAACAAGGTAGATATAATGTCTAAATATTAATAAAGCTGATAGCCAGGGGTGTAAATAAGGATTCTGTAGGGGGTAAATTTTTTAATTTTCTAATTTCTTTACCCCACCCCCCTAGAATTTTATTTACCTTTTAATATGCTGATGTAAATCGAATAATTAATGGTTTAATTGGGGTTTGATTTGAATTTTCCTGTCATTTTTGGCAATTTGACAAACTATCAAATAAAGGCTTAATTTCCTCTTTCAGCTTTCACCTTGTTTTATATCCTTCATTATATTCATTAATTTTACATTAACTACAAAGATCTGTAAAAAAAATTGGATCTATTTTACTCTGTTATTACTGTTAATTACATATTAGATACATTCTAACAAGAAACTTAAAATCAAATAATTTTACTCTAAGAGGAAAAGATGTTACTTTTTTAAATCTTTAGAAAAGCTACTCTGCAAAACTTTGAAATAATTTAGTCTCTGTTATTCTAATCTTTAAAAAATGTACAAAATTTATATTCTTGGACAGAAACAATGATGTGTTTTATATTTATTTTACAAAAAATTTTTAAAGCTATAGGGTAGAAATAAAAATCAGCAAATTCAGAGTCTTAGCTAGGCTCAAACAAACACATAATGTGCATCACCTCTTTGTCACAAACTCTGATTTTCTAATACCTGTATCTTTGCAATCCAATATCGAAGACGTTAGATATTTCAAACTATGAATTCTGTTAGATCAAATAGCCTAAGTTTGAAATATCAAGGGTTTCCACCATTAGGTTGCCAAGATATAAGGATTAAAAAATTTGAGTTTGCGGCAAAAACTCAATTCCTTTTGTTGACAAAAATATTATAAATTATTATCATAATATATGATTTATTATAAGCAGTTGTGTGTGAGTTAGGAGCCAGAGTTTAGGAATAGACAGTCAAAACTTCTAGTTTCATGAAAATAGTCGTCTTTACATATGTTTTTTAAACCTTGGGTGCCCCTGAAAAAAATTCCCAGATGTGCGACACATTTTTTATGAAGCAACAAGATAAACCAGCTTAAATACGAAATTTTAGAATTTAAAATAATTTTTCATTTTACTGTTTATCAAATTAACTGAACACTTTGCTATTGGAAAAAATGTTGCTAGTTCCGAAATGTCCTAAAAAATGTTTTATATTACAAGTAGATATGTAGTGTTTTTGGCAAAAACTGAATTAGAAAAACCGTTTCTGGTGCAATTTTCTCCTTAACTCCTTTTCCTTGGCCAAATGATATAACTTATGAAAAAAATAGTTTATCATTAAAGATGCCCTTTGATGTCTATAACAAAAAACAAAACTCCAATATCTTTAAATACATATGATTTATTAACCTTTCGGTGAATTATTTAAGTCTTTATAACTTCAAATGGGCCTAACAGCAATGTCACTCAAAAACTGGCATTATCCGCGTTGCTGAACTTGTTCACTTAATGCCCAAAGTTCAGCCGTCTTAAAAGATATCCAACATTTGTTTTTTACTGTGCAATCTTAACATCAATGGACATCTTTTTATGAAAAACAAGTTGGATCATTTGGCGAAGCAGGAGAAAATTGCACCAGAACAGTTTTTTAATGGATTTTTTGGCCAATAAAAATTACAAATGTTCCTCTAAACTTGTCAATAAAACATTTTTTTGGCCATTTCTGAGCTTTAAAAATGTTTTCAAATAGTATGGTGTTAAAGTTTGAAAAAAAAATTTCTTTAACCACTCCCAGATGGAGCTGACGAAAGGTGTAAAAACAGACGCGATTTTTCACCTTTTTTTCTAAATTTGACCATCAAAAAAAAAATTGAAAAAAATTGTCCAATATCGTTTTACTAAGTTAAAGGATTTCCAATATGGTATCACTCAATCCCTTAAAAATTGACAGAGTTAATCCTATTTAGTCGAGAATGGTTGATAAAGGCCAAAAAATGGCGGGAATAACAGTAAAATGGCTCGCCATTCAGGAAAATTATTTCAAAAAGCTAAAATTTCGGATTTGAGCTTGATTTACCCTAATGCTTAATAAAAATGCGCCGCACATCTTGAATTTTTTTTCAGGGGCACCTAACCCCACCCAGGGGCACCCAACCCCACCAAGAGGCACCCAACCCCACCCAGGGGCACCCAACCCCACCCCTGACTACGCCTCTGACAATATTGATATTGACCTATTTAGATTAATTTTATGAATTGTTTCAATATTTTTCTAAACTAAACTTTTTTTCAGCATTTGAACATTTTGCAATTGCTTTTTTTGGAAACCCAGCCAAGGAGTCTTCAGTTACTAAGATACAGGTTAAAAATTTAATTGTCATGTAATAACATGTAATAGCAGCTGAGCTTGAACTGAAATGTTCACTTTTGACTTATTGATTTGAAATGTGTATCATTCGTTTATTGGGATACATTCAGAGAAAAACGTTATTTTTAATTTGTGTTGATAATTCTAAAGAGAATAGTTGTGATCGATATCAATATAATATAATTTATGTTTGAGTCAATGCATCCTATGAGATATAAAATTGACTTTTAATTCCAAAAATTGGGATATTTTACATTTAAAATGGCAAACTAGGGTTTAAAATAGACATGCAGACAATTATATAGAATATCGATAAACGTTATAATATAATAAAAATGTGGTCAGGTACCTGTGTCTGTAAACTACCATTTTACACGTGTTTGCAACTATTCTTGCGGTTTCTGCTTTCATACTGCTAAAACATCATATATTCTGCAAATTAAGGTAAAAATTAGAATAAAAGAAATTGAACAAAATTAAAAATATCTTTTCTTTATTCTCATATTTATTTTGTTAACTAGTACTATACATATCATATTTATTTTGTTAACTAGTACTATACATATCATATTTATTTTGTTAACTAGTACTATATCCTGTATCCTACATTTCTTAGTAACCATTCCTGTATCCTACATTTCTAGGTAACTATTTCTATATCCTACATTTCTTGGTAACCATTCCTGTATTCTAAATTTCTAGGTAACTATTCCTATATCCTACATTTCTTAGTAACCATTCCTGTATCCTACATTTCTTAGTAACAATTCCTATATCCTACATTTCTTAGTAACCATTCCTGTATCCTACATTTCTTAGTAACCATTCCTGTATCCTACATTTCTTAGTAACCATTCCTATATCCTACATTTCTTAGTAACTATTCGATCCTGTATCCTACATTTCTAGGTAACCATTTCTGTATCCTGCATTTCTAGGTAACTATTCCTGTATCCTACATTTCCAGGTAACTATTTCTATATCCTACATTTCTTGGTAACCATTCCTGTATCCTACATTTCTAGGTAACTATTCCTATATCCTACATTTCTAGGTAACCATTCCTGTATCCTACATTTCTTCGTAACCATTCCTGTATCCTGTATTTCTAGGTAACTATTCCTATATCCTACATTTCTAGGTAACCATTCCTGTATCCTACATTTATTAGTAACCATTCCTGTATCCTACATTTCTTAGTAACCATTCCTATATCCTACATTTCTTAGTAACTATTCGATCCTGTATCCTACATTTCTAGGTAACCATTTCTGTATCCTGCATTTCTAGGTAACACAAATTTTACTCTCTTAAAGGACAAAGGATATAATTGATCAAGTACTTTGGTAACTGATGAGCATTATAGTTATTCCTACAATATCAGATTACATCATACATAAAACAATGCATATTTTCTCTTAAAACTCACTCTAAAAAATGCAATTTTGGTCTTTAGCATCAGGCATCAAAGTTCTTCTTTCATATTTCAAATTTCTTCTTTCATCACTCAAATTTTGTTAAATATTTTCCAAAATTACAATCTAACAAAACTTGTTAATAGCTTACACATTATTCTCTCAGCATGTGTCAAACTTTGTTATATGACATCTTTCTTTTGTCATGTGACAGTTTTCTTTCATTGTAATTAGCCGATATTTTAGTTTGTGTAAGAACAAATTTTGATTTATGATCAATCAAACGTTGAACCATCTGCCGGGCTGGCACGGCTTGCACGGCTGGCTGGAGGGGGAGAATCAGCTGACTTTCTATTCAAATTAGTGACAGTTTAGTCTGTTAGCCGACAGCGCTTATACCTACGTCAATTCGATCTGGAAATTTGGAGATATCAAAAAGATTTAAAGGGAAACCTCCAAGAAACTGGAAGAACAAAATTAAAACTTGTTTAAGCCTTTGTCCACTCTCTCAAACTAATGCTTGAATTTTCAATGCTTTAATTGCTTGAAAGAGAGTATCAATGCAAAACCAAATCTTCCATAATTCAGACTGCAGAATCTACTTCTACAAGAATCAAATGTTGTCTAAATTGGTGATTAATTGATGTCCAGTTCTTTAATTGCTTTGAATTGTATTAAAGTGTATTATAAACAGCAAAACTTATGCCGCATGTTACTTTAAAGATTTGTATTAAGATCTTATATTTCTAGGCCTCATGTATTTGTATTATAAAAAAATGTGATAAACTTTAAACTTGTGATGTTTAAATTTTTGTTTTTATCAATTGCATTTTTGCAGATTTATGCGTTTTAAAAACTAATAAATTGTATAAAAAAATTTAAATTTTACATAACAGCCGGATATTTATGTAACAAACTTTGAATCTAGTTAAAACAAATATTGAGAGAATAGGTGGCGCCACCTGTAAGAACCTCTTTTGACGGGTCAAGATTCAAAGCTGAATAATCATATAACAAATGATTACATAGTTGCGCAGTAAGTTGAAGGGACATCCAACAAATTTTGACGCATGCTAATTTTTAAACCGCGCAGTGTCGACATGAAACAAACTTTGTGAGATGATAATTATATGGAGGCGCGGTCCAGGGGTTGCACAGCGAGCGGACAAACACCGGTTGATAGATCATGTAACAAACTTTGAATTAAGGCGTCTGAAAATACATTCAACAAAATTTGACGAATGATTCTACTAAGGTGTATTTGAGTCCGGTTCTCTAACAAATTTTGTTAGATGAAAATTTGAAATTTCTTAGAGTGCTGTTAATACATATTTCGATAATATCTTGTTATTTGAATCACACACTGATATGCATTTTATTTTTTAGATTAATTTGTAATTTTAAAATTCGTTTCTGTTTATGAAATTACATAGCAATCCACATTCTTCTAGCTCTGTAATAGACGCAAGTTTTAGCGACCTTCGATTTACAAAGTGGCATAATCGATATATAAGTTTTGTATGATTAAAAATCATTCAGATATCCATGATTTTAAAGTTGAAAACTGAATGTTTTCAATTGAAGGTTACCTACAAAATTGCCAATATCTGCTACCTTAACAATGAAGGATTTCGGCAGAACTAAATCCTTTGTAAAGCTAGAAAAAAAAGACAACATCTTTGACATAATTGATCAGATATAGGGTTGGCACTGTTGTGAATCGTGCTTGCACCTCTAAATTGAGGGTCATTTAAAAAAGATTTATGAAGGTGAACTGGTACAGTACTGTAAGGAGGAGTTGGAACTGGAAAGTGTTACAATCGTATCCAATGGAAGCAAGGTACTTTTTAAAGGAAAATAGGTTTGTAGGAATTTCCGCACCTCTCTTTCTGCCCTTTGGGTGTGGATTTTTTCCCCTAACTACCTTATAAAACAAGGAATAAATTCACAATAAATTTTCAATTTTTGCGGATTTCCAAAATTTTCATAATTCGTATTTTAAAATTTTAGTCTGCGATGCCATACATCTTTCTGGTGTCTTATGAACAGCAAATTTGGGATCTATTTGTTCAGATCTTAATAAGTTTACTGGATCCAAAAATCCAATTTTATAGAGAGATAATTCAGGTATCTGAAAATTGGATGTCTGAGTATGGTTATTGGCTGGATATTCTGGCAATATCATGCGATTCATTCAGGTTATTAAAAAATTCTGTTAAACTCATAACTAAGAAGACATTGGAAGAATTTATAAAATGTCGCCTTGATTTTGAATTTGAAGCTGTTGTATTTTTCAATCTGTCAAAGTTTTCGGCTTTCAGCTTTATAGGGATATATATGTGTAATTTACCAAAGCATAGCCAAAATGTATGTGTTGACAGTCAAAGATTTCAATGAGGAATCAAAATTTCTATATTTATTCTTTTCTAAAAGATAAAAATAACCCTGAAATACGTGGAACATTTTATCAAACATCTTCATATAGTTGGGCGCTATTTTAAGAACAAAATCCTTCATAATATATAATTATTACATATAAAGAGTTCATCAGGTCTTTAGGAAAATCGCTAAGTAGCGAAACATTCAATCGCAACCTTGTAGGGTACCGGTTAACTAATTGAGATTTAGCAAAAAATTTCTCGTCGCTGCTATATTTCCTGAATTGGAAAATATACGGACTGATGTAGGAATAAGCTTACAAGGAAGCTTTATTAAACTGAGATCCTTTAATAATCTTAAATCTTATCATTTATTAGATCTATATCTAGTAAATTGAGGCGGGACATTTAATTGAATTATAAACTGGATTTGTTTCTTGTTGTCAGTATATTGGCCAAATCGGAAAAATATAGTGACGAACCGAGTGAACAAGTTCTAAGTTATGAAATTGAATGTTAATGGAATGTTCATGATTGGATGATTGGATGAAAGCAGTTTACCTGAGATTTATGATCCACCGTCAGTACCTTCTTGGTCAATATCTTGAAGGGACGAACACTGGACTATACCAAGAGATTTAATTTATTGAGCTATTCCCTCACTGTTAGTGTATTTGCCAGATAGGAAAAATATATTGAGTGAGTGAGGAGAATAACTCTGCTTTGAGATCAATTGATAAATCCTGAATGTTATTGATCATGGATGACAATTGATTGAGTCTAATTTATTGAGCTATCGCTCATCCTTGATATATTTGCCAGTTCGGAAAAATATGTTAAGTGACTGAGGGGGATAACTCTATTATTTGAGATTAACTTGATAATCCCTACATATCTTAGTGGTTTGATGTGATAGGGCGATAAACTGTTGAATTTGGGCTTAATTTTAACCTACTTAATCTTCTATAAATGCCAGATTGGAAATTTATGGGGAAACATTTTTAAGTGTGGTAAAATTTGTTGAGCTCATTTCCTAATTTGCCATGCGGGGCGCAGGGAGAAGAAGGTCTACATCAGAAGGGGAGGGGGATAGACTGAGCAGTACCTT